AGAAGAATGAAGATAGATCCATATTTTTCTCTATGCACAAAACTGAAATCCAAACAAATTAAAGACCTTAACATAAAACCAACAATATTGAACCTTTTATAGAAGGAAAAAAGTTTAAAATTTATTTTAGCAAAGGATATAATCAACAGAACGTAATATCAACCTGTAGAATGGGGAGGTATCATGAGACATATAAGGAACTTAGGAACTTAATCCTCATTAGTACAATTACGTCACAGACCAAAACTGTAAATTCTCAACAAATGAACTTGAAGTGACTGAAAGATATTTAAAATTTGTTTAAATACAACATCCTTAATCATCAGGGAAGTGCAAATTAAACAATTTTGAGATTTTATCTTATTCTTGTAAAACTGACCAAGATTAAAAATATCATTTGACAATTTATGCTTACAGCTACTTTGAACATTAGCATGGTGGACTTTCAAAATTAGATAACATATTACCTTAAAAACTTAGCGACATCCTTTATATTATCATTGACAGAATCTGAAAACAACTCAAAATGCACCTTTTTTATATTAATAATAAATGAGAATCTTCGCCATGTTTTTTTTTTTTAATAGCCATAAACATTATAAAGAGTCAAAAGGACCATTTTAACTCAACCTCATCATTTAGTAACACCCCCTTTGCCATTGTAGTGGGGTGAGAGGCTTTAGCAGATCTTTGTCTTGTGGGGCAACTCAGGGCCCCCACCTTATCACAAGCATTGTGAGCAGACAAGTGTTAAATTCAGATCTAAACATGGGCTGGCTTAGAAGCTCAGCTGGGCTGTTCATATGGCCCCGGCCCTGTGCCAGGCCTTCTACAGCAATAGTTCTTGAAGACAGTGTAGTCCTGCATCCATCTAAACAGAACTGGGAATTTACTTTTCTTCTAGACACACTGCATAGTAGTTTTTTTTTTTTTTATCACAAGCATATTATTTTAAAGTGACTTAATTTAATTTTCCCGATTTTTAAACCAGAGGCTTTTACCTGGATGCAGCACATGATGACTGGTATAGAGCATCCCCAGAAGACAGATGTTATTAGGGCTGGTAGGCCCTTTTGATGTCAGCTTATTCCATTAGCTACTACTCCTGAATCCACACTTATCATTTATCAACAGCCACAGGGAAATTTACTTGCAGTCTCTTGCCCTACTGCCAAAATGGAAGGGTCCAGGTTCTTTAGGGGACCTTTGCTTTTTAATAGGGTATCCGACCCCAGAGAAATAGCCTACTGCAGGTTCCCAGGCTTAGTTCTGTGACCCTGGCGCTAGCACCAGCTATTTCCCCTGGGCAAGGGCCACAGATCTTTAGTACAAGGTTTTACATGGCATTTGCAGATGCGGGCTGCCATTCAGTCTCTAGCACCTTATTTTCTAAGGAAAACAAGCCTTCTCCACAGGGAACCCCACTGGGGATCCTCCCAGGACCTGGCTTCAGCCTCAGCTCTGTCCACAGTGAGCTCCTAGTTGTATAGCACAAGCTTCCCACATCCCATCTCTATACTCACAGCAATCTAGCAGCTTTTCTCTGAATGGGATTCCAGAGGCCCCAGGAGGCATTCCCTCCAGGGAACTTGTGAGGTCAGGATTGGTCCACTCAGTTCCTCTTAGCCCTCACACTGCCAGTAGCAGCTGGGAAGGCCTTTGCATTGGCTGTAGGGGGAGGGAACACCTTGGACTGTCTAAGGCAGCCCTCCTCCCCCAGTCCTCCCGTGCGGTGCTGGTGGACTTCAGGTCAGCAAGGGAGGACGTCATTTTCAGCACAGGGATTTCAGGGGGGCCACGGCTGCCCCCTTCTCTGGCTCGGGCCAGGGTTGCTGCCATGCCCCGCCCTGCGTCCTGCTGAGAGGTTTGCTCAGAGCTGGAGCCAGTTGCCCCGCCTAGGCCTGGCTCCAGGCTGTGCCTCAGGAGATCACAGTCCTGTTCCCTCCCCCCTCGCGACAGCAAGCAGGGCAGTTCAGCAGCAGAGCCTAGAGAAGTAAAGGAAGGGCAGACTGTCTGCATTTCTTTTGGATTTTCCTAGAGTTAGGGTCCAAGAGATGGTTATTTACTGCCCCATGGTACCAGATTTAGACTCGAGTACAAACAGATATACAAAACAAAGAACATATTAAGCACAAAAATACACAGACAATACAGATGCGCTGGCGCGGTTTCGGCATAATGCCGAAAGCAAAATTTCAGACGGAGACTCTGAGGATCCGGATTCCTCGTCTCCCAGAAGAATCACGTACCCTTAGGACTGTGGGGGTGCCCCGAACAATCCTATTCGGTAAGGATTCACAGAGTTACCGATGGGCCAGGCACCACATCCGGCCCCCAGATGCCTCTGAGACGTCTCCCAGGGCTGCGGTCGGGAGTGAGAGCCCGTCGGCTCCTCCGCGGTCCGCCCGATACAGATCTAGTCAGCCAACTAGTACAGAGTCAGTCGCAAGCGCAAACACAGAAACACCGAAGCACAGACATTCACGGAAAACAATCGCTGGCCAGCTTACCTCCCGGTGGTGGGTCGGTGATCCCTGGGCAGGGGTCTCCAGATCTCGGTGGAACCTCCAAATGAAAGACCCCAGTGCTGGGCAGTCTTTCAGGCTGAGGAGACCCTCCCAAGGAGCAGCGAGTCACTCTTCGGATGCAAATAGCAAGAGGCTTTATTTAATACACAGGTACCTGGGGCGGCTTAGTCTCTCGGAAGACAAGCGCGCCTGCAGACTGGGGGAAGGTCTTTTTATAGGAAAGAGGGCAGCAGAAGCAGATTACAGAAGCAAATGCATCGTTAGTGGTCAGTTGGAATGGGGCCAGGGGCACAGGGGGTTTTTCCTTTCCCAGCACAGATGTATGGGAACAGACATCCTGTTAATTGATGTCCTGTCCTAATCTATGGATATAAAGATCCTGTTTTGCAGCCAGGGACCCTGACCTTACTCTGCACTTATAGTCGTACGTCAAAAGCTTTGTGAAATGACGTTACAGCAGATAAGCTGGGATCTTTCATAGGGGGAGTTGTCTCTTCTGTGAATTACTGATATTCTAAATTGGGCACGTATACTGACTATAGGCATCCTGTTTCCCTAAGCAACCGGGATGTTCTCATTAGAGCAGGCCAGCTGCGGGTTCCTTATCGCTTGGGGCCAGGTGGCTGACCGGCTGACCGCAGATATCTCGCCTGGCTTCTCGCCCTTGCTTTCAAGTCGAACTTCCCTGCTCTAATTACTTGCGTTGCTTCAAAGTTTAAGCCTTGCAAAATGGCATTACTGCTGCTTAGTGAGTGGGGGTCTTTCAGTAACCATGCTGGTTTAAACTCAGCCACCGTCCTGCCTTAACCTCCCTAGTGCTGGGACTGCATACACCACGCATGGTTTGCAAGACTCATTTGAATGACTTGGGTGTATCGTTTGCGGGGAGGAGCAAGTTTCTCATTCACGCGTGAAGTACGGTCATCTTTAGCAGAACGACACAAGAAGACCGTCTATACATATGGAGTTGCGTGTACGTAGAAGAACACGGGTGCCTGGCGGTCAGACATAACAAAATGTGTTGCTCTGCTTGCCAAAAGTGAGGTCTTCGACGGTGTCTGAGTGAGCATCTACATTCCAAACTAGGGGCTAGATCAGAAGGAGACACATGGGAAAGGTGTAGGCTGTAAAGGAGGGATGTGAGTGTGGGCCACCCATCTAGGAAGTTTGATCATAAAAGGAAATCGACCATAGGACAGTTGGGAAGAGAACGGGTGTGTCAACTGGAGGCTTTTTTTGAGAAAAGGCCAGGGATTCCTCTGGCTTTTGATAACCAAAAAAGAGGACCAGTGGAGAACAGACCATGGGTGAAGAATGTAAGTACCAAGTGATTTGAGGGAATATCCCTCCTCTTAAAGGGACCCCATCTTAAAGATAGGAAGAGAGGTCCTGTAAGCGCAAAATAGAAGTAGATGGAAGAAATGGGTTAGGGGTCCAAGGACAGTGTCGGCTACATAGCAAGTTTGAGGCCAGCCTGGAATACATGAGACCCTGTCTCAAAATAAAGTAAAATAAAATAGATGTGTCACGTTCCCTAGACCCCAGTTTTTTTCATTATCAGCTGTTGTTGTGACACGCCCTTTCAAACCTGTTCTCACGTTAGTGTGTGCCTTGGTACCCCCTAGTGTAAGGCATCTGGGCTTTCTGAACTTTGATTTTTCTCATTAGTGAAATAGGGTTATAGGGATGGTGCCTACCTTGTGGCAGTGTTGTACAGGGAAGTACATGAAGAGCTCACAGGGCTGAGGTACTGTCTGGGGGAAGTATCGCTAGCAGTCAAGCCCAAGCCACATGACCGATGATGTCACAATGCCTTCCCAGACTCCTACCTGAGAGAGTCTCAGATCCTTTGGAATCAAGGAATGGAACTAGCGTGCGACACGTCTATCAACTGAAGGTTTCATGAGTTCGCGCCTTTGCCAAGATCTTGGCGAACAGTCTCTCACCGTGTGATTGTAGCTCAGAAATTATTTTTCTTTTGGTGATGATCGTGCTGGGCTGGATTCTTTTTGTTGGGCTTGCATCCTACATGGGGACATTTCCAGAGGTGATGGTAAGCACCAGCCTTTCATCCCAGCTACTTCGGACTCAGCTTTATGCTCCTGTCTGGGATTTCTGACCAAACAGGGAAAGTCGTTGAGGTTTTTACCAACTGGAAGTCAGGATGTGACAGGAACATCTCATCCCATTGGGGCATCCCAATTTGGAGGGTTTAATACCTGCTTTGATAGTATCATTCATATCCAGGCATTATGGCATTTTTTTTTTTAAAACAGCTTTTTTTTTTTACAGTTCTGCTGGTCACAGTGCCTAACTTCAGAGTTTCAAGCCAAGCAGATGAGGAGTTTCTATTAGGGACAATGGGATGAGGCATTCCCTAACGGGCTCCTTCGTTCACCACACAGAAACACTGACTTCCCACGGGGTTAATGAGCGGGGCCGTGTCTACCTCTAATTTTCTTTCTGACTCAGCCTCCGACTCTAAAGTGGAAAGAGGGGTTGCCTGTTTGGGAGACCAAGGCACGGCGAAGAAGCCAAGCTTTGGAGGATGAGCTGCTGCTGCTGCTGTGAGATCAGGTCTGTTGGGCTGGGTCCCTGTCCGTAGAATGCTCCAACACCCTTCCCAGACACAGGCCAATTGTGGAGGGGATGGCTTTAGATGTGTATTGGGGGGGAGGACTGGGGGGTACTGCTGGGGAAAGCAGGCTGAGAACCAGCTGCCTGTAAATAACCATGCCTCCCAGGGTTCCTTCTGAGCAAATTCCACGTATTAGTCCATTATTTCACAAACACTATATTATATTAGCCCATGTTAATTATATATTTTCTCCTACATACTCATATGCTATAGTAAAAGGGTCTGTATATCCATGTGTATAGCCGACTTTGATCATATTACCCCTCCTCTCTGCTCTCGTTTTCCTCCCTCATCTCCCTTCTCTTCCTAAATAGATCCTTTTTTTCCTCTCCTTTTTTGAGACAAGGACTCGCTATGGACCCCTAGGAGCCCACTACGTAAACCAGGCTGACCTCACACTCGAACACAGAGATCCCCCTGCCTCTGCCTCCTGAGTGCTGGGATTAAAGGTGTGCTCCACCACCGCCCGGCTCGTGGCTTTTATCTTTAAAAACACTGCACACGCCAGGCGGTGGTGGAGCATGCCTTTAATCCCAGCACTCAGGAGGCAGAGGCAGGTGGATCTCTGTGAGTTTGAGACCAGCCTGGTCTACAAGAGCTAGTTCCAGGACAGGCTCCAAAGCTGCAGAGAAACCCTGTCTCAAAAAAACCAACAAAACAAAACACTGCACACCTGAGCTTGGGCACTGAGACATTTTGGAGGCATACGCCCACTCTTGGTATGGCCGTTAATAAAAAGGCTCATGCTTTCCACTGACTGTGTCGCACGGCTGTCAGGAATCCTTGCCTGGACCATTTCCAGATGAGTATTTCTAATGCCCCTTCTAGAGAGCTGGGAAGCTAGAAGTAACAGGAACCTGAGATCAAGACCCAACTTTGCAACTTACTGCATGAACTGGAGAGGTTTAAATCCTCTGAACATCAGTTCATTCACTGGTACAATGGGAACTATTTCGGCCTTTTTCTATTTTTGTGAATATCTCATTTGGGAATCCACGTAAGGTGTCTAGTGCAAACCTTGAAAATCAGTAAACTACAGATTTAACGAAGTGAAATGAGAACCTATTAGCAAGCATTTATACCTTGGGTATACACAACACACAACCAGCTCATTGTGGGGGTGCAAGCCGGACCTCCAAACATCTCACACTCCTTCCTGCAGGCCCTCTCCTGGACTTCTGCCAGTTCACCCATTTCAGAGCAGTTAGCATTGTTGGAGGAAGTTTACTCTTGGTAGTCTTTTTGTTTGTTTGTCAAGACAGCTTCTCTGTAGCCCTGGTTGTCCTGGAACTGACTTTGTAGACCAGACCTGCCTCTGCCTAGTGAGTGTGGGATTACAGGCAGGTGCCACCACCACGTGGCTTTTCTTGGTAGTCTTAATTTGGTAGACTTTGGTAGAGCAGAAGGATTTGTAGGGAAACTACTCCAGAAGGCAAGGGATGGTAGCCCTGGCCCCAGGTATAGTAAGAGCAGGAAATGAGAAAGCTGGCCTTCTGTTCTCCCTCAACCTACTGGCTCAAAGCTATCCCATTGGGTGTGTGAGAAGTGACACTTGTTCAGCCAAGCCGCTGCCACAGAATGTGACTCGAAGCCACCGGAATTATTTTGTGCTTGGGAAAGAGCACAGTAAGCAGCCAATATCATTCTTCTGTTCCTTTCCCAGAGAGGTATTAAGAGGTTTAGCTGGATGAGGGTTGGATTGCCATCTTACAAAATATGAGACTTCTTTAAGTGGCTTAATTATAGCCTTATAAATAAAGCTGTTGTCCTCCTAGTTTATTAATTCCCCTAATAAGTCCAGGTGGTTTTTATGTGTCACAGAAGTCTTTTTCTGCCTTTGATTCGTTTAAGCTAATGCATATGTTATGTAATGGCCTATTAAGGTTCTAAACAGAGGTGAGAGAAAGCTCCCTTTTGAGGTTTCTTTCAACCCAAAGTGCCTCTGTCCTGGCCAACCTATTGATGCTCTCATCCTGGAGGCCCAGTGACACAGGGACTGATGTCATAATTGGTGCCCGAGCTTTACCTCCCAAAATGGCCATTTTAGTTTAGTCTAGGCCACAAAGTTCACCAGTCAGGAACTGCCATGCTGGGCCAGACACCATCTGGTCTGGAATGAAGCCAGACAGAGTCCCAGGATCCTGCGAATAGAACCAGGCCTTCCAGTAACCGCTCCCCGCCCGCAGCAGCCAAGAAGGCCCACAATGATCGTTGTTTTATGGATGGTTCTCATTGCAGGAACGATGTGGAAGGGATATAAATATCCCCCAGGAGGGGTAAGTGTACATTTGACTTCTTTACTGTCAGAGTCCCTAGCATTAACTCGGAAAGCATGCAAATCTGGTCCTAACAACTTTAGAAACATTCTCTTTAGTATTTGAGAAAAAGTTCCTATAATGTGCCTGCTTCTACTGTTAGCCACTCTGCTTAGAACGGGGAGCTTTCCGGCTTCCTAGAATGTACTTCTAAAGGGCAGATGTCTCACTCAGCCAAGGATGGTTTGGAGCTAGCAATAGAGCCAAGATTGCCTTGGTTCTCCACCTCCACCTCCCGACTGCTGAGATTACGTAGTGCTGTGGGTGAGAGCCAGGGCCTCCTGCACGCTGGGCACCTACCATGTGAACTACACCTCAGTTTCTCAGGTGTGTTCGTACACATACTTTATTTTTTAGAAGACTAGGGTTCAAAGCTAATCTCTGCCGATGCAGACAAAATGTTTAAAAATGTCTTTGGGGCTGGAGAGATGGCTCACAGGTTAAGAACACTGGCTGCTCTTCCAGAGGTCCTGAGTTCAATTCCCAGCAACCACATTGGGTGGTTCATGGCCATCTATAGTGGGATCTGGTGCCTCTTCTGGCAGATCACTATATACTTAATAAATAAAATCTTCAAAAAAAGGGCAGGGCTGGAGAGATGGCTCAGAGGTTAAGAGCACTGACTGCTCTTCCAGAGGTCCTGAGTTCAATTCCCAGCAACCACATGGTGGCTCACAGCCATCTATAATGAGATCTGGTGCCCTCTTCTGGCATGCAAGCATACATGGAAGGAATGTTGTATATATAATAAATAAATAAATCTTTAAAAAAAAAAAAAAAAAAAGGGCAGCATCATTTAAAAAAAAATGTTTAGTCTTCAATATTACTTCCTACATCAGCCCACCAAGCCCAGGTGGGGTTCTGGTGGCAGACATCTCTGCCCTCTGCCAGTTCCCGCAGTGCCGAGCACTTTGGTGGCAAGCATAAAATGCTTTGGGTAACAGGATGAGGCACCTGCCTCAGCCTGACAGCTTAGCCTAGCAATGCTAGTCTTCTGACATATGCGTTTTCTTTCCCTCCCAGACCCCCTTGGAAGTAAACAAAGATGACCCTGGTGAAGTCATGCAGCTGTGAAGAACACCCAACTGCCCAGTTCCTGTTGTAGGTTTCACATAAAGTAATCGCACATTATTTTGTCAGATTCTGTGTAGTTACCATGCGTCTTAAGATGAACAAACACAATATTCTCCTAACAGAGACAGAGAGTGAGTTGGTAGATGGGAGTGAGTGGGTGATGGTCAGGCCCTATTTGTCAAAGCCTCTAAGGCTGAGACACCTCGTTTAAATTGTCCCCTCTTGGGTAATCATAAGTAATGATTTTTAGACCCACTTCCCAAATACTATATCCCAAATCCTGAGTCCAAAAGTAAAAATTATCCCACGGGGTTCATTTAAATACAAGGGGAGATGCTAAGGTGGTATTCAACCCTCACCCAGACCTGCTGAAGCTGGGTCTTGGCCTCACTTGAAGTGACCGAAGAGAAATTAAGAGGCTCAGGTATCTTGCCAGCACAGACCTGGACATAGTAGGGATGTAGATGCAGGCTTCTTCCAGGAACACCTATGTGTTGTGTGCCAAGGCAATGGTCTCCCTCACCTGAAGTTATCCAATGATCCTTTTAAAAGATTTTTTTTTTTTTTTTTGGTTTTTCAAGACAGGGTTTCTCTGTGGCTTTGGAGCCTGTCTTGGAACTCGCTCTGCAGACCAGGCTGGTCTCGAACTCACATAGATCCGCCTGCCTCTGCCTCCCGAGTGCTGGGATTAAAGGCGTGCGCCACCATCGCCCGGCTTTTAAAATTATTTTTAATTATAAGTAGGTGTATGTGTAGGTCTGCATTGGAATGCAACAGAGGCCTCAGTTTCCCCCTGGAGTTAGTTATAGGTGATGGTGAGCTGCCAATGCAGGTGCAGGGAATGGGCTCAGGTCCTCCCCAAGAGCTCTTGGGTAGTTTGTGCTCTTAACCCAAACCACCTCTTCAGACAACATATGTATAAACAAAACCTAGGTGCAGCTCTCAACATGGATGCAGTAAATTTAAATTCAGGGCTAGGAGCCTAAGCACAAAATCAGCAGTTAATAAATGAGTCTGAGCGTCAGTATCTTACCCTCTAAAAATGAGATCGGGGAGGTGGTGGTGGGGAGGGGAAGAACATTTCGGTGACTGATGGTTCCACTGTGCAAGAGAACAGGCATACCCAGCAAAGCATTCCTGTCGTTCACACAGAAAACACATTGTTATTCCTACCATTTGTTAAGAGTTACTGTCTCTGTGTGTGTGTGTGCGTACCCACGTGGAAACCAAAGGTCAGCGCCTGGTGTCTTCTAACAGCCTCCAGCTTATTTTTTGAGAGTCTCCCACTGAACCTGGAATTTGCCACTTTGATTAGACTGGCTGGCCAGCGAGCCACAGGAATCCACCCATCTCTGCGCTGCTGAGTGCTGGAGTTCCAGATGTAAGCCACCATGCCTCCCTTTTATGGGGGACCCGCAACTCTGACCGCAGACTCATTTGTGTGACAAGCACTTTACACATCAATCCATCCCGCGCGCCCCCCCTCCCCCCCCCCCCCCCGGACTGTAAGATTTTTTTTTTAAATATTTATTTATTATGTATACAATATTCTGTGTGTATGCCTGAAGGCCAGAAGAGGGCGCCAGACTTCTTTACAGATGGTTGTGAGCCACCATGTGGTTGCTGGGAATTGAACTCAGGACCTTTGGAAGAGCAGGCAATGCTCTTAACCACTGAGCCATCTCTCCAGCCCCGGACTGTAAGATTATCTTTCCTATGGAAAGGAAAATGAATCAAAAATGCAGATGCAGTACTGAGGAATTTGGGACTAGACACTATTATATTTCCTGTTCTTCCACGACCTCACCCAGTCTCGGTACTCGCCTCATGTGCGGCACTAAGGGCGCCCATCCATCCATCCACGTATGTCTCTGTGAGCGCATGTACTGAGGGACGTCAGAAGGCATCGGGTATCCTTCATCACTCTGCCTATTCCTTCCCGGCAAGGCTGGAAGTCCTAGTAATCCTGTCTCTGCCACTCTTGGAGCTGGGCTTACAAGTGGGTGTGGGGTGCTTACTTCGTTGTGTGTGCTACATGTCACTCCCATCTCATGGCTGTACCCTGAGTACTCCAACCACTGAGCCATTTCTCCAGCTCCTCAGGCTCGTTTGTTATAGGGGATTTGAACCTGATAATTCTGACAAGAGAAAAATCACAAACCAGCTCTGCTGTTTCTCTTCCTTTTCAATAAACCTTCAAAACCCTGAGCCACAAGACTAGAGCTCACTGCTCTAACCACTGAGCAACCTCTTCAGTTCTCACTTGTCATGCTTGTTGTTTTTTCTTGAAACAGTGTTCTCTGTGTAGCCCCTGCGTGTCCTGGAACTCACTTTGTAGACCAGGCTGGCCTCGAACTCACTGCGATCCTCCTGCCTCTGCCTCCCAAGTGCTGGGATTAAAGGCGTGCATTTCCAGTTTTTTAAACTTGATGTCTGAGAACACAGTGCACTCTGTTCTAGACACTCTAGGTGGTGGAAGAGAAATCAGTGGTAGCTTGAACAGTCAGTCACAAGTATATAAGGGACAAGCCCGATCTCCGAACCTAACAAGTCTACAGACGTTCTAGCTAGCAGTGTTCCAGGTGATAAGGAGTAGCTTCAAGTTTTGATCAATGAATGAAAACCAGTAAAAATATCAATAAAATATTTTAATGCCTACAATTTCTTGTATACATAAATTGCAAAACATTCACCTGTATATGCAAAAGTATATTCTTCTGCAGGTCAACAGCACCAGAAAACAAGCTAAGCTATGTCCAAGTTTTCTTCTTTTACATTTGATTTGTCCATTATGTAAAAGACATTATGGATTTAATAACTCCAAAGAAATCTATATTTCACTTTTAATCATACACTAAACACCTGAATATGTATTTCATCACATCCACTCACAAAATAAATAGTCTAATCAGCACACTGAAAATAAAACAACCAGTCTCTCTGCATATATTTATTCTCTTTCCAAAATGTTTTGGTCTTCTGCTATATCTCGGAAATGTACTACTAGCTGCTTTTAAGTTATAAAATACAAAATAATTTATTTCTTGGAGAAAATCTTGGGGGTTACCATTACAAAAATGAAATTCCGTGTTCCCGTAGGCTTTCTGTTGAGTCTTTGAACTTTCTCTTGGCACACACAGGGCTGCCCGTGACATGTGGTACCCTGCCTCTAAGTGGACACAACTGCATCCACTGCAGAGAAAGCACAAAGACCAGCTCTCAAGGAGCCTTAACACAAAGTGCCCTTGGCTTTAGCAAGTGGGACTGTGCAATCAGAGCCGCAAGTTTTATGAAAACTACTTTCTTGTCACATAATTTGTTAGAGAATGCCACACCCATGATCATGTAACATTACAATTGTGGAACGTTACTACATTCGAGAATTAACATCACCCAATAAAAGGCACATCTTCAAATAGTGAATCAAATCTGAAAATCCAGACAGTAGAGAGCATACATTAAAAATCAAGCACTTAATTTGTAAACCTTGAAAAAAGAATAGCCTGCTCCTGTTTCCTCCCGGCTTTGTAAGCTTTTCTCGGTGGTCAGGAAACACAGAGGAGCAAAATGGAAGACACAATTTGGACTCACAGTCTTTCTTTCCTGTGTTTTTTTTCAACATAAAAGTCGATGCATATCTGTTAACAGAAATGCATTCAGACATGACAGACATCACAACCTGACTCTTTACCAAGTTCTGAAACTTTAATCCAGCATGATGGCTCCTTCCTGTGCAAACAGCTGCACCCTGTAACTGAGTACAGTGCTTTCAGTCACCAGAAACCTTGACTGCAGTTACAGCTTCCAGAGAACGAATATTGAAAGGTTATTCAAGAAAAATCATGGAGGGGAAAGCACACACGTGATAGCAAATAAAATAACGTTCCGATCCTACTTTATCAAGTAGAATATCATACTCCCTTTAACAGTGGGATAGGGGCCGGGCACAAGTGATAGCAAATAAAATAACGTTCCGATCCTGCTTTATCAAGTAGAATATCATACTCCCTTTAACAGTGGGATAGGGGCCGGGCACAAGTGATAGCAAATAAAATAACGTTCCGATCCCGCTTTATCAAGTAGGATATCATACTCCCTTTAACAGTGGGATAGGGGTCGGCCGGTGGTGGCGCACGCCTTTAATCCCAGCACTCGGGAGGCAGAGACAGACAGATCTTTGTGAGTTTGAGGCCAGCCTGGTCTACAAGAGCTAGTTCCACGACAGGCTCCAAAGCTCCACAGAGAAACCCTGTCTCACCCCCTTCCCCTCCCCACAAAAAACCACCACCAACACAAAAAAAGCCAAAAAACCAAATTTACATGGTGAGTTAGGATGTCATATACCATCTAAAATTTAATCCTTGCACTTTTGAATTGAGTTTGAAACTCAATTCAAAATGACTAAGTTTTAAGGACTGGGTCAATGGTCCCACAAAGGAAGGCTAAAAATGATCACTCATAATATTCAAGCTTAGAGAATGAAGACATCATAGACAAAGACATAAAGTCTGGACCTGTTGAAAAGCAAGAGCTCTTTGTAGACCAGCCTCTCCAGCACCCCATCCCTCATGGCTTAAGAGCTGAAGAAGCCAGATTCACTGTGGAATTGCCCCACAGACCAAATTCTGACTGCTTCCAACTCTCGGGTCTCTAGCATCCTATCTCTTTCTCTGTTGCTGACTATCCTTAAGACATGGCTTCCTTCCAGCTAGACCCTAGATCAGCCCGGATGGACTCTAGGCTTAAGTGACAGAAAGTCTGTAGGCCTGACTTTTGAGAAGGCCAGAAGCTTCACAGCTCAGTGAATCACCAACAACAGGAAAACTTTCACCACAGTGCATAGTTAGAGATCAAAGTGCAACACGGACAAAGGGGAAGGCGGTCCTCTTCTTGATACACTAAATACTTAGTTTCTGCTTTTTTTGGTCATTAACATTTTCTAAGAAATTTAAGCTACAAATGCAATGTTATTAACATCAAGAGGTACAGGGCACCTTAGGGTCCCAGAATAGCTTTCTGAGTGGGGAGTAGAGCAGAGGGCACAACACATGTCACTTGCTGATTTTTTAAACCATTACTCTTTCAAATCTAATATCCAAATAGCCATCTTTCTTTAATAAAAGGAAGAAAGAAGACAAAGAAACAAAACAACCAACAGAATAGTAAGGGCCTTATCTACTTCATACTAAGGTCAGTGTGACAGGAAGCCTGAAAGGAAAACTAGAAAAGACTGTTTCTTATTCTGGAAAAATTTATATTTTAACTTAGAAAAATTTTATCACCTAATCATACAAATTAAGAATGCTTAGCATCCAATCTACAAATAATGCTGAATACAATATAATTCTATTTTGTATGTCAAAGTCACAAGGGTGACATTCATGTAATATTATAAAGCCTACTCTTTCCTGGGTTTTCAATTCATAGACTGGGACAGGTCACTTTATTGCTGGCAGCATTCACAGAAGTGCAAGGCCCTTCCTAAAGACAAGTATTACTGAGATCTGGGCAGCACCCCACTCACACATCAATCTTTTTCTCCTTTTAAAGTAGCAAAGGAACAATAAAAGACCAGCTGACTGGTAAGTGGCCCCACAGTAGCGTGCATAGCTCATCATGATCAAGCCGGCACCTGTGAATCGTTAATGTCATCAGAGCACACGGCAAGCATCGTATCATCTGCATTACAGATCCCACCCTGGACTGTCGAAGAACACTGTACACTCAGATGACAGGACAGTATGCATTCCTTCCTGAGTGTCCGGGTGTCGATCTAAAGGGTAAGGGCTTGCTCAGTCTGAAGGCAGGAATCCTTGCAGCAGGGTCCCAGATCCACACATTCAGTAGCAGCTAATGTCGCTTCAGCTTCTTGGCCTTTCGACGTTTCATTTCTTCTTCTTCACGTCTCATTTCCTCTAAGTCCTCTTGCATACCTAGTCTTAAACTATGGAGAAATGGTTTTAAAGGGTATTTGTTAATACACACAAAATTACAATGTTAAAAAGCAAGAATGGTATCTTTCGTGTGGCTTGTGCTGATGAGTTTGCTCATGTAAAAGGGAGACATTTATATACACATATATACATATACACACACACATGCAATACACAATTTAAAGCGGGGTCACAAACACAATGTAGAATAAAGATTTTTACAACAGATATCACAAAAAAGCCTTAATATCCACATTTAAATTAATAAAATATAAATTTATCTCAAATTAAAAAGAAGATTGAAGTCAGGCAAGGTGGTGTACACCTTCAATCCCAGCACTTGGGCAGTGAATCCCTGAGTTCCAGGACAGCCAGGACTACATAGAGAGATCCTGTTTTTTTTTTATTTGTTTTTTAAGCTTAAGGTGTAGGTAGCCGGGCGATGGTGGCGCACGCACTCGTGTGGCAGAGGCAGGCAGATCTCTGTGAGTTCGAGACCAGCCTGGTCTACAAGAGCTAGTTCCAGGACAGGCTCCAAAGCCAGAGAAACCCTGTCTTGAAAAACCAAAAAAAAAAAAAAAAAAAAAGGTGTAGGTATGTGCACGCGAATGCAGATGCCTGTCTAAGCCAGAACTGGGCAGATTCTATGAAGCTGGAGTCGCAGGCAGTTCTGAGCCACCTGATGTGGGTGTAGGGAACTGAACTCAGGTTCTCTACAAGAGCAAGCAGGTTCTCCTTCTTAAGCACTGAGCCATCTTTCTATCCTTTTAAAAAACACTTAAACTTATTTTGACATTTTATGTAGTTACAGGAGGGAGAGTCAAAAGAAAGAAAGCTGTTTGTGTTGGGACTGAGGTGAATTATTTCTCTGCAATAGGAAACCGTTAACACTATAAGCAAAGTAATCCTTTATCATCCTTACTCAGGAAACTCTCAGGAGCTCATGACTGGGTAGCTATACAAGAAGGAGGTAGAGGTAATCTAATCTGCTGCTCCTAGGTTCCTGAGACAGCAAAATTACAAGTTCCAAGACTGAGACAAGTCTGATGGGCAAGAAAACACAGTCCATGGCAGACTCAGAGGCCTCTGATTTCAGTGTACATTACCCATGAGATACTACAACCACTTTGGCTACATATTAATCCTTACAATGCTTGAATGAGTAAAGCAATATACTCTCATTTTACAAATGGGAAAACCTTAGACAGGCAAAGGAATTTGTCTAAGGCTTTCACAGCCAGCCAGTAGCAGTATCATCCAGAGAACCATGTGGTCTGACCCCCATTCCAAGCCCCGCAGCTGCAACCTTTTCAGACTTTTTAACATAAAATTACATAATGTACCCAAGTCTCTTGCTCACCTCTTGGCTTCCTCCTTCTGCTGCTCCTTCCAGCTGCTCTCCATGTAACGTAAGGCATAGTCACTTTCATCTTTATATCTGGCAAGAAAGCAAAGTAAAAAATGAACAGAAATTCAATTTTCTTTTTCTTTTTTGAGACAGGATTTCTTTGTAGTTTTGGAGCCTGTCCTGGAACTAGTTCTTATAGACCAGGCTGGCCTTGAACTCACAGAGATCCACCCTCCTCTGCCTCCCAAGTGCTGGGATTAAAAGGCGTGTGCCACCACCGCCTGGCAAGAAATTCAATTTTCTTATAGAGCTATATCCTCATTAAACCAAACCAAACCAAACCAAACCTACTTAACACTAAACAACTCGGTTTTAGGATTCTTCCCACCTTGTTTGGGAGTGAAAAGGCCAGACAATGGGTAGAAGTTGTTTTTTCAGTAAAGACATTAAATGAGCTGTAGATCCTTACAAGACAACTCTTCCTGAGCCCAGCATTAACAAAAGCACCAAACCCAACAAGGCTTCTTCAACCAGCTACATTCATTTAATACCTTACATTAAAATCCTGGAAGCACAATATGAAAATCGATACATATTAATCTCACTAGACCGTTATGACCCAGTGGAGTGAGAACTTCCAACAGTAAACAAGTCAGTCAACGGTGTGACCAGAAACAAACTTAAGCAAGTGTCATTGCTTCCCAGGCTGCCCTGAATTCACCAGCTCCGACTTCAGCTCTAGAGCAACTTGACCTTCCTCCCACTCAAGAGCCCCAGATGTTAAAGCCTTGCAGATGGCCGAGCTTTTCAGAGGGGCTTCTAAAGATGTCAGAGGAAATGTGACCGGTCTCATCTGTCCTACGCACATACGGCAATACTTCCAAAGTGTTTACCTCACAGGTACACGGTGAAGCTTTATTTCTTTATATTAATGGCTTACAAAGCCTTACTTGGGGACTTTATAAAAAACACGTGCATTCAACAGGACTAAGGTTGGGGCCTGAGACGCTGCAGTTTTAATAAGCTCCTAGACGCATCAATAATAGTGATAGTCCCATACTAGTGACCAGGGTCCACCTTCCTGGGTACCAAAACATTACACCCAAGAAAAGAAGGTATTGCCGGGTGGTGGCGGCGCATGCCTTTAATCCCAGCACTCGGGAGGCAGAGGCAGGCAGATCTCTGTCAGTTCGAGGCCAGCCTGGTCCACAGAGCAAGTTCCAGGACAGGCTCCAAAACTATAGAAAAACCCTGTCTCGAAACCGCCAACCCCCCCAACAAACAAAACAAAACAAAACAAAAAAACAGAAAGAAAAAGGAAAAAAGGAAAAGCAGGTGTCTTACCAGAATGACTTTCTGACTTCAAAGCCCATCTATTTGTATTACACGAGGCCGCTTTACCCCCTCTTTTAAAGAAAGCAGTTCACAAGCAAACATCACCAAACACTCTGAATTCACCAGAAACTATTTTGTGCCTTAGTTAAGGTTTCTATTGCTGGGAGCAAAACCAACCCAGGAAGTAAAGGGCTTATTTTATTTACAACTTTTAAATCCACTATCCAGGGAAGGCAAGCCAAGAACTAGAGGCAGGAACTAATGCAGAGGCTGCTCACTGGCTTGCTCCTCATGGCTTACTCAGGCCACCTTCTCTGTTTCTTTAAGGGTTTTTAGAGACGGGTTTCTCTGTGTAGCTCTGGCTGTCCTGGAGCTCACTTTGTAGACCAGGCTGGCCTTGAACTCACTGAGATCCACCTGCCTCTCTCTGCCTCCAGAGTTTGCACCAGCATGGCTGGCTCAGCCTTTTTTGTGGGCAGTGTCGGCCCACATTAAGAAAATGTGCCACAGGTTGCCCAGAGGCCAGTCTGGCAGTGAGCATTTCTCAATTCAAGGTCTCACTTCCCAAGTAACTCTAGACTATGTCAAGATGACATTAAAAACTAATCAGCACCTGCTCTAAGACTAAATCATTTTAGGACCTCCACCACCTAACGGTTCCTAACTAAGCACTCAATGCCTCCACTGTTAATGTTTCTCTCCTACAAACGACAAAAAGTTGATATTTTAGGTAAACCTTCAGCTTACTTTTTTCGGTCATAGCCAAAGATTTCCCGAATGTGCTTGGATATTTCTTCCTGAGGTTCTCCTTCATCTTCGATGAAATCATCCATTTCTGAGTCATATTCATCATCATCATCATCATCTTCATACTCTCGAGGTCTTTTGTAGCCAGTCGGGAAGGGGAGCCTTTGAGGACCTAAGCACAAAGCCATGACTTTTAAGTACATTGTATGGCAAAGTATTCCTTGCAGTGGACTATATCACATGGAGTTCAGAGAAACAAATAGTAATATGGCATCCCTAGCAGGGTAGTGGTGGCCCATACTTTTAATCCCAACACTCAGGGGGCAGAGATGAGCAGATAGATCTCTGTGAGTTTAAGGCCAGCCTGGTTTACAGAGCGAGTTCCAGGACAGTCAGGGCTACACAGAGAAACCCTGTCTTGGGAAATCAAAACAGAGGTGCGGCTGAAGCAGAGCATCCAGCTGGTGCTCAGCACAGGGTGCACATCCCTGTTGGATGAAGTATCTGGAGGGACTGAGCCTGGTTGCTTGTCATGCTTTCTAGCTTAGTTATACATACTTCTGGTACTTAAAAGATAAGTAATATTTCTGGAACTGGGTCGTTACAAACTGCCACAGAATCAATTTTTAATTCTAACAAATGAAGATACTGAAAGTAGTTCCCTATTTTTCCTGTATTTCTCTTAAAAATTCTAAGTCCTGCACATGCCTTAGCTACAGCTATATGGGCTTGGAGCCTGAGCCAGCAGTTTTAAGACGCTCCAGGCAACACAGCAAGACCATACCTGAGAAAAGAAAAAGTCCCAAGTATAAATCATTTTCAGAATTATAATTGTTCAAAGAGAGTAAAAAGTATGACTGTAAGAAAAACTCACTTTATTATTGTATTTTTATCCTAATGACTGAAAGTAAAAAAATGACCCGGGGAGGTAGCTCAGCAGAGAGCTTGCCAGGATATATGAAGCCCTGGGCTTGTGTCCTAGCACTATAGCAGACCAGTGGTGGTACACACTTGTAATCCCAGCACTCAGGAGGTAGAGACAGGGTACCAGACATCAAAGGTCACCCTCAGTTGTACAGTAAGTTCCAAGCCAACATGGGCTACCTTCTCTTAAAAAAACAAACTAAAACATTAATTTCCTCAGTCCCTCAACAAAAACAACAAAGAAAAAAAAAAACCCAAAGAACAACTTTGCAAAAGACACTTAACAGACAGTATCTGAGAACAACTTTCTTCTAGTCTCTGAAATCGAAAGCAAGGGATTTGGGCGTTGGTTTCTTTTTATCCTCTCTATGGATCCCAACAAATACTTTAGCAAGTACCTATGCAGCATGCAGTGTCTACAGGAAGCAGCTGGCGGGGCCCATCAGAGACTCCAAACTTGGAGATGGCAGATTCCTAAAGCACCAGCAGCAAGGCTCTTCGCTGTGCCTACTACAGGAACAGAACTCAGGACAGTCTAAAATAGCAGCTGGGGCACAACAGGTGCCAACGAGCATCCGCTGGGGAACGGAGCACCAAGGCTTCACGCTCATAATTATTCTCTCATCTTTAAACCTCACGGTCTTCAAGTAAAACACTATCCTATCCACCAAGCCACCAGCCATTGCTCTCACAAACCAGTCAAATTTGCTACACGTGAGAGAACAAGGTGGGAGTAAACAACGGATCCCAGACAAGCCTCTTGTCTACTATCAACAGTCAGTACATTACAGGGCACGAGGACGTGGTTGCAGGGTTCCTGGTCATACAAAGTTAGGTACTTTCCCAATGCCATGGTGATATTTTACCTGGGGCAGATCTGTAGCCAGACATGGGAGGCTTCATTCCATTTATCTGTCCATTGCTTGACCGACTAATAATATTCTTTGAAGAAATTGTTTCTGAGACAACAGTGCACTTGGGTTTTATGGGGAGGCCTGGGCTACCAACTGTTCGTCCAGGTCCTAAGCTGCTCACTGGTCTTCCAGGGCCTGAACTGACAGTCCGTCCAGCTGGAACGGAACCACTTATAGACCTCCCAGGGCCACCAACTGACCGCCCAGGGGGACCTTGGTTGCTCACTGGTCGTCGAATGTCATGTGGACTGTTTACAGGCCGCCTAGGACCTCCAGAACTGCTCAAAGGTCTTCCAGAACCACCGGGGCCACTGATGGGTCGCCCAGGGCCAGTGGAGCTGCTGGCAGGTCGTCCAGGACCATTTGTGCCATTGACTGTTCGTCCAGAGGGATGCGGATTGCTGGCCAGCTTTCTGATCCCACTGACAGATTGCTCGGGTCCTGAGCTGGAGCTACCATTCTGGCGCTTGGGCATAGCGCCAGAACTAACTGTGGGCCGAGCTGTCCCTGGGCTGGGTCGTCCAGAAGCTGAGTCAGTGTTGCTGCCTGACTGTCTGATACCTGGACTCTTAGCTTTGCTGTGTGAGAAGACTGTGGGCCCAGGTTTGGAATGGCTGGGATGAGAAGGAAGAGGTTTTTTGGCTTTGTGCTCAGAAGCAGGTTTCTGAGTCCCACTAGCAGCAGTCTTTGGGACACTTGGGGAACAGGTGCTGGGGTGGGGCTTTCCAGCCCCATTGAAGACAGGTCTGTTGTGTGAGGCCTGGGAGCTACTGCCAGATCCTGCCTTGGTTCTCTCTCCTGGCATGGATTTGGATGAAGACAAAGCTACTTGCTTTTCACTGGCTGTGCTGGGTCTGGGTTTCTTCTCAGCATGAGGAGACAGCAATCCTTTGGAAGAAGGCTGCCTGTCCCCAGAACCCTTGCTGGGTTTTGTGCCCACACTGTCTCGATGAGAGGGGGTCCTTTTGGACACGGGCGGAGGTAGTTTGGCATCGGTCTCAGTTTTCTTTTTCTTATGCTTTCGTTCAAGAAACTCTCGCTCCCTGAGTTCCTCTGCAGTCATGGGCCGCTCCTCAGCTTTCCTCGCTACCTTGATCTCCACTGGTTCGAACTGCTTCTTCTCAGCTAACCTCAGCAAGTCAGTGAAGTTCATGGGTGGAGGGGCACTTTTAAGGGGGGCCTTTGGTTTGCTTTCAGCTTTGAGAGGCTCTTGCTCCTCCTCGAAGTCCTGCTCCAACTCATCCTGACTGTAGTCTAGGAACTCTTCCTCCTCCACCTCATACTCTGGGTCAGTTCCCTGGTTTTGGCGGCTTTCTGCTATCTGCCTCTTCTTTGTCTTTTCCTCCACAGGAATCCCATCATAGCCATGAAAATTGTCCTTTGTCCTCTTGGCCATAGCTCTGGCTTTCTTGTCATGTTTGAGCTCAATTCGTTTTCTCACTAGTTCTTCCTTCCTCCTTTTCTCTTCTAAGGCTGAAAGAACAGAACAAGAACACACTGTTGCAAAGTCTCAGGACAGCTCATGTGACACCAGCCACAGTCAAAACACGGACAACGTTGAGATATCCAGGAGCCAAATGAGGAAGTCATCTAACAAAATAGAGAAATTTTTACACAAGTGGGTCCTATATGAGCTTCTCTTTCTTTATGTGTAAACAAGTAAAGGACTTGGTTTGTTTTATATGTAAAAAATGGCTCATAAATACACCAAGTTAATGGAACACCAGGACCCACTGACCTTAAGAATGAACCAATGAATACCTAAACCAATGTCAGGACCAAGGTAAAGAATGAAGACTTGTTATGGAGAGTTAGTTGGTCACTACACCAGGCCTTTTCACCTCTCTCCTCAAGACATAAGGCCTTGCTATGTTGTCTGGGCTGCTCTCAAGCTCATGGGCTCAAGGAACCATCACCATGCCTCAGCCCAGTGAATACTTGAGGCAACAGGTGAACATCACTATGCCTGGCTCCACGAAGCCTCGAGGGACAGGGGCAGATAAAACAATACAAATAGTTAACCTATGAACAGGCACCTATGTATATGTTCAGAAAATCTCCCCCAAATTTATTAGTCTGTTTCGACATTTTTACAAACACACACTGTTGAGTCGAGGATGGCTTTGGTGGCAGACACTGAGACTAAGAGACACAACACAAGCACATACCTTTCCGTCTAAGCTCTTCTTCTTTCCTCCTAAGGAAAGCTTGCACAGCTGCCGACTGGACACCTTTTACTTTTGGGTCTTTCTTGGGAGGCCCCACTGCCAAACTGTACCTTTTCTAAAAACAAAAGCAGTATAAGAGCTATAAGCAATTCAACTTTAAGGATATATGAAGAGTCCAAGAATAAACAAATAAAAATGTAGATTCCAGAAATAAGAATGTAAAAATAAAGAAATATGAAGTTCTTAGTCTAGGAGAATGAGAACAGACTATCAGCAGCTTTCTCAGCAGATCAAGGATCAATCGTTCACAGTGAGCTATTTTCTCAGAGGCTTAAGAAGCCATCAGCCTAGGTCATTTCATTTTACAACTGGCTGTTCTATTTACAAGGCCGGAGTTTCTCTCTGAAAACTGTAGTAGAGACTACTAGTACAGAAAACTGTAGAAAACTGAGTAGTGTCCTGGCCATCCTTGATGAACTGGGTTAACCCTTAGGAAACAGAGATGTGTTAGGCACCTGTGTCTGTTATGGGAAACTGGCACTGTTAAAGGGGAGGCATGGGGCTTCAGTATAACTGCCTGGAGGAACCAGGAGAAACAGTGAACACGGTGTGCAAACACCTGGTTTGACCAATGGAGGCTTATCATAAAAATTCCTTTGTTCAGACCTAGTGCTTGGTGTCCCTACTATAAAAAGATGGGTTCTGGAAACTGGCCTTTTGCCACAGCCTAACAAACACCATCTCTGGCTGTGGTCTCAGCTAGCTGATGCGCTTCTGTGCCCTGCGGTGTTTATTTATTTATTTTTTAATTTTTAAGTTTGCTCCTGGTTTTCCTGGGATCTGGTTTCTGGAATAAAGTCTGATTCTGGTTCATTAGACTTGGTGTTAGAAAGGTTTTCCCATCTTTGTGTGACCCCCCTGGACCCAACAATATACAGTCTATGTAGTTCAGTGACAGAGTGCTTGTCTGCCAGTGCTTGTGCGCAGCTCTGAGTTCAATTCTCAGTATTGCAGAAAATGAGGTAGGAAAGAGTAAGAAAAACAAATCTAAACAAAGGACCCAGTAATCTTTAACTGCAGCATTTAAATTTGTGAAATATTAATTTGCTACACAAGTTCTGTTTCCGTATTACCAAGATCACCAGTACCACACAGGCACAGATGGTGTTTTCCTGGACTTTGGTTTTTAAGTAACTGCATAAAGAAAATGAATGATTGAGCCCTGAAAGAAAAATATTTCAATGTCTTAAGTATCTACTACTAAAGAAGCACGGTAAACAGCTAATCCTCATCTCTGGGACATGGGACATAAATCTATGGGCCAGCAATTTTTTTTTTAATTACAGAACTGAATAAGACAGTCTCACACATACAGGTACTCTACTACTAGACTTCATTCCATCCCTAAAAACAAGAGTCTTAAAGTGTCCCCCCTCTTCTGTTATATGAGGCAGACATCCTTTTTATGTACTAAATCTTGTCTGTGATGATAATAAAAGAAAGTCATCTTTGTGGGAAAAGCCAGCAGTCTGTAAACCCCAACGCCTCCCCATCCAGCGTATGAGTTTGTTCTCCCATGTTCTCCCATCCTCTGTATGCCCACCCTTGGAAGGAAGCTGAAGGATCTGCTTACTATCGGGCTGCCAGATACAATGTATCTTTTTTCTTTTATTTCCTCTATTGATACAATGTATCTTAAACTCAAGGTGTACTGCTGCCAGATACAATGTATCTTTTTTCTTTTATTTCCTCTATTGATACAATGTATCTTAAACTCAAGGTGTACTGCTGCCAGATACAATGTATCTTTGTCTTGCCTTTCCTCTATTGATACAATGTATCTTTTTTCTTGTCTCTCTTTCCTCTATTGATACAATGTATGTTTTTCTTCTTTCCTCTATTGATACAATGTGTCTTTTTCTTTTCCTCTCCTCTATTGATACAATGTATCATGAAATAAGCTCAACTTGCAACTGAAAAAGCAGCTGGCCAAGACGGGCAAGCCTCATCCAACCTGAAAATCCTGCATGATGGCATGTTGACAACTGACTCATTCCTGACGGAGAAATCCCAAGACAGTTCCAATTGTTTTCTAGTCACCCAAGCTAGGACACAATCAGATTCCTTAGTTAGTCCACATCTTTGTAAACTGAATTGAGAACTCTTTCCTGCAGGAATATTATGAATATAAACGACACCTGATTTAAGTGTCACACAGCTCGCAGGCAGCATCACAACTGAAATGATTTTTGGTATATTCAGAGTTTCACAGCAATCATCTCTGGTTTTCAGGATATTATAACCACCTCAAAAAGAAATCACTTACTTAAGTGATGGGTCTGGCAACCATTAGTGAACTTCCTATCTCCATCTCCTTCAATAGCTGAGTAATATTGCAGGGCATACATCCATACCCTATTACTTATCTGTTCACCAGTTGGCCATCTGGATGATTTCCATTTGTTTTTGCCTTCATAAAAAATGCTGTTGGGACATTTGTATGCAGTTTTAGGCAGATGTACATTTAAACTTCTCTTGGGTATTTTTTTTTTTTTTTTTTTTTTTTTTTGAGACAGGGTTTCTCTGTGTAGCCCTGGCTGTCCTGGAACTCACTCTGTAGACCAGTCTGGCCTCAAACTCACAGAGATCCATCTGCCTCTGCCTCCTGAGTGCTGGGATTAAAGGTGTACACCACCACATGGCTATGATCATATATTTTAACACTAAACTCAGTAGACCTTTCCAAAAAGGGCTGCAAGCATGCAAGCATCAAAGATTAAAATATGTTTTGATGGACAATTTTTCCCCACCTCACAGTAAAGCATGATTTAAAAAAAAAAAAAAAGCCTGAGGCTGGAGCACACTATGTTCTCTTTAAGACAGAAGAGTCATTTGGCCCGTCGTAGATGGCAGCAGCAACAGCACACCAAGGTGTACGCATCAATTCTGACTCTTGATTCCAAAGCACCAGACCCCTTCATTGTCTGGGTTTTATGAGAAGCAGCCAGACACGTTTCCTTTATCCTAAACATATCTGTTTTACCATCCTGCAAAGCCAACTTCATCACTCTGTAGGACCCCATGAATGATCCCCAATGGTGGCATTGCTGTCATTTGGAATAGCAACAGAGATTTTGCCAAGATTTTGTAACTCTAAAACCAACAAACAGGTTTAGAAAACATCAAGCCATTTAAAAACATACTCCTCCCATTGAAACCATCCTGTGGAGAGCAGATTAAGAAGCAGCATGCGGTCTGGAAATGTTGCTCAGCAAGTGCACAGTCAGGACCAGCATGTTACTCCTCCTTATTCCCCAAACTGCTCCTTAGGAGAAACAAGACTGTTGTAATAGAAAATAGAAATTTTCTGATGATTTTACATCACTTATTATTGGTTAGAGTAGTCAAACAATATATTGTTTTGTTTTGTTTTTTTTTTTTTTTTTGGTTTTTCGAGACAGGGTTTCTCTGTGGTTTTGGAGCCTGTCCTGGAACTAGCTCTTGTAGACCAGGCTGGTCTCGAACTCACAGAGATCCACCTGCCTCTGCCTCCCGAGTGCTGGGATTAAAGGCGTGCGCCACCACCGCCCGGCTAATATATTGTTTTTTTTTTTTAAAAAAAAATTATTTATTTATTTTACGTACATTGGTATTTTGCCTGCATGTATCTCTGTGTGAGGGTGTCATATCTTGGAGTTACAGACAGTTGTTAGCTGCCATGTGGGTGCTGGGAATTGAACCCAGATCCTCTGGAAGGACAGTCGGTACTCTTAACAATTGAGCCATCTCTTCAGCCCCCAAACAATATATTCTTAACTTTAATCAACACCACAAAGTTTTTTTTTTTTTTTTTTGGTTTTTTCGAGACAGGGTTTCTCTGTGCACCACAAAGTTTTATACACCTTTTCAAGACATTAGTCAAGAATGAATGCAGGAACCAGCTCTTTGCATTAAGCTAGCTCAGCGGGATGGTGAAAAGGGAATAAGACATCCAGAGCATCTATTCAGGTTGGCTATATTAAACATCAAAATCAACCATCACAAGGTTTATAAAATATTCAGTAAGGGTTGGGGTATAGCTCAACAGTAGGAAACTTGCTGGCATGCTGGAGGCCCTGGTTCAACCCTTGGTGCATTATTCAAATCTGCCATAAAACCCGCACATCAAATGAGTTCTTTGTTAGAAACGGCCTTCAAAAAGGGTAGTTGTTGGGCTGGAGAGATGGCTCAGAGGTTAAGAGCATTGCCTGCTCTTCCAAAGGTCCTGAGTTCAATTCCCAGCAACCACATGGTGGCTCACAACCATCTGTAATGAGAACTGGTGCCCTCTTCTGGCCTGCAGACACACACAGACAGAATATTGTAAACATAATAAATAAATAAAATATTTATTTAAAAAAAAGGGTAGTTGTTTTCCTGGTGCTCAAGCACAGGCTTTGTAGCTGAATGCATGTTGAACGCAGGTCTTCTGGCTCAGGACCAAACATGTTTTCACACTTCACTTTCTATTTGACTCCAACACTGGTTTTCTCAGGCCCACAGCCCAATCTTAAACGGAATTCCCTAATTTCCATGCATATCTACCCCAGACAGTTAGGAATACAACTGATCATCCCTATGTTCTTCTCCTTTGCCATCCTTTAGGGGAGTGATTACTCTTTTAGAACAGACTTCCAATATCACCCGTCAGCCAGTTTTCCATCCATGTACTAACCAGTATCAGTCCTGTTTAGCTTTAGAGATCAGATAAGATCAGGTGGGCCCATTCAAGTGGTCTGGTTGAGTGGGCTGTCCACCGTTTCTAAATGCTATTGGTTTGGCCTTTCCATCTTTATACTGAGACCGTCATAAATATCCAAGAGTATTATCGCTTAAAGCTGTATTAAAGAAGAGCTGAGGCAGGGAGCTTGAGTTCTATCTATGAAGATGACAAACTCAATACATTCTCTTCAATCAACAAAGTCTGGGGTAAGAGCAGGGACTCTGAAACACAGGGCAGGATTAGATCCTCCTCCTTCAGTACAACCAATCCCAAAACTCACTGCCGTGGCCTTGGGCAATTTCTTCACCTCACTAGGCCTGTTTTTTTTTTTTTTTTTTTTCTCGAGACAGGGT